ACATTTGTCAATAACATGACAATTATAGTTAAGTTACTAAACCAAAATATTTACAGTGTAATTCTCCCGGGAGTTTATGGATTCCTGATTTATTGTCTCGATAGTTTTTTGTCTCTTTCCAACTTCGAACAAAAATTGAAATTGGCTAAGTAATAAGCACACTGTCGTAAACCTTGAAATATACTCCTTTGACTAAGTTCTACTCTAGACTGCGTTTTAAAAATTTAGATATTCAGTCTCATGTTAAAACCATTGACATCACAACATTGTAATTCTCGCCCATGCAGCTCGTAACATTGTAACCTCTACAGTTTCACGCACAGTTAAGACAGAACAGTCCCCTTCGAGTTACAAAAAATACATAAGAGACAACAATTTTGTCCAGCGTTCACAAGACAACATGTTAACCTAGTAACATGTCAACCTTGTAACCTGTTAATCTGATAAACTGCAGTAACCTGGTAAACTGGTAACCTGGTAACCTGATAACATGATAACCTGGTAACCTGGTCACCTGGTGACCTGGTAACCTGGTAACCTGGTGACCTGGTGACCTGGTGACCTGGTAACCTGGTAACCTGGTGACCTGGTGACCTGGTAACCTGGTAACCTGGTAACATGATAACCTGGTAACCTGGTGACCTGGTGACCTGGTAACCTGGTAACCTGGTGACCTGGTAACATGATAACCTGGTAACCATGCAATCTTGGTAACATTAAATCTAGGTAACATCAAATCTTGGTAACATTATAAAATCTTGGCAACATTAAATCTTGGTAACAATAAATCTTGGTAACATTAAAGTTTGGTGTCATTAAAGTTTGGTAACATTAAAGTTTGGTAACATTAAAGTTTGGTAACATTAAACTTAAAGCTTGGTAATTTCATGATAACCTAGAGTAAATCGTTTGCATTATCCACCTGATGATCTCATGATCTGATGTCTGCAGATCATTATCCACAATTACCTGATCATTATCCACAATTACCAGTACAGTTTAAGTTGAGAATACTAAAAGCCACGACTACCACCTTATCTTCTAATCACCTCTCACAAGGGATAATGTGGTGTAATAATACCAATTTCACCAACCCTCCCACCCAAATCATACCGCTTAGTTTTAATTGAAGTGAACTTGATAGCTTGAAACGTTTGCGGAGTATATTAGGAACGTTTGCGGAGTATATTAGGAACGCTTGCGAAGCATATTAGGAACGCCTGCAGAGCGACAGCGGGTCAGATCGATTACCCGCAGACAGTGTATGTATTGGAAACACTGCTGCAAACTCCGATAACCCTGATCCAATAACAATTACTAAGAGTCAAAAATTACACTGGTAGCAATAGTTTCCGGCTCATTTCAACGGGAGATTAGTACAAATGTGTGTGCGTGTGTGCGTGTGTGCGTGTGGATTCAGTAAAAGTGGTTAGGAAATGCGGTCGTTCAGAACTACCAGCTTCATAATTATAAGGAAAGTTTGCGGAGTGAATACCTGCATTCGATCCGGTTGAGTTATCAATAGTTTTTCCTTGTGCTAGCTGGCGTGTTTAAGAGATTAAGGACGGAGGAGGAGATATATGTAATTGCAGGAGAGTTGTTGGAGGAGTATTGCCGGGCTCGAGAGACGAAGAGTATATTTATACTTTTATACTGATACTGTGTCAAGTTTGGAGTTAGCGTTATTATTATTTGTTGTGATCGGCTCAGCGGAGAGTTGTAACTTTTTGTTGATAATATTCACGGTGACCGGCGGCTATCAGGATCAGATACTCAGCGAACATAAATCACATCCGGGAGTTTCATCTGAAGAGGAAGACAAAGTGTTTGCAGTTTTTCTAAAAGTTTCTAGAAGGATTTAGAAAGGGGGAGGTGCTGCAGCAGAAATGCCTCGAAGGACTGTGCCAATGGCACTGTATCTGAAATCCAGTAAAGCAACAAGGGATAGCCGTGCTGTCTCGCCAACGCCTCACCACACTGCCAATTCAACTGAGGAGGAGCAAGAGCATTTTGAAGAGTCAGATCTCGTTCAACAAGGTTAGTGGAGTTTTACTGAGAGACTTTCATTAGATTATTATATTGAGATGTTGTATAAAACTCACAAATCTGGTCATTAGTGGAGTGTAGATCATGGCCGGTGCAGTCCGGAAAAACTATTTTGAACATACAGAGGGGGAAGTTTTTAAATTATTGATCATCAGGCACGAGCAGCTACAATGCTCAATTTCAGAAACGAAAATACTAAATCAGTAAATGTAATCGAGTACAGCGTACTTGAGACAAATAGTACAAAATACGGGACAAAATTGTTAATGATGAAAAGTTAAATTGATGAATAGTTAAATTGATGAATAGTTAAATGAATAGTTAAATGTATGACCATTAGAATTACGTCATAATGCTTACATACTATTAATAGTTTTTCCAACAAGCCGGGTTGAAAATGGTTGCACGGTTTAGTTTCTCCCACTTCCTATGTAACGTTGTTCAGATCGTGTTAGCGATTTCTTGTGCTGTGTCGCGTAAAAAGAGCAGTGGTTATCGGATATAATCACTCCCAGTATAATATGAGTGAATCATATTTTGTAGCTTGCTCCTCTTATCTCCTCTTATCTCCTCTTATCTCCTCTTATCTCCTCTTATCTCCTCTTATCTCCTCTTATCTCCTCGTATCTCCTCTTATCTCCTCTTATCTCCTCTTATCTCCTCTTATCTCCTCTTATCTCCTCTTATCTCCTCTTATCTCCTCTTATCTCCTCTTATCTCCTCTGATCTCATCTTATCTCCTCTTTTAGTCTTATCTCCGCTTATCTCCGCGTATATCCTCTTATCTCCTCTTATCTCCTCTTATCTCCTCTTATCTCCTCTTATCTCCAATATATGCAATTGAGTTCCGTCGGCATTGGCAACCATTATTTAAGGTATAAGCAGTATTCTATTCTTCAACGTTTAATGATATTCGAGCATTCCCGGAGCTTCTGAGACACTATCAGGTTAAGGGTTTGGGTCATCGAGTATTTAGTAGACATGAAAATTTAGAGCCAGTTGGCCAGAATATCTAGTTAATCACTGTAAAAGTCTGACTCTTAGAACCTATCGGAAATCTCCATCAACAAACCCACATAAAGACGTATTTTAGTCGCATAAAGACTTTTCAAACCTCATAATGAGAAAATATCGTTTACTTGACGTAATTTACCAGCGGCTATTGATTCAAAGTCCAATGTTTCTTGTAAGTTGTAAGTTGAAATCGTTTTGACGGCCAAGAAAAGTTGGCCGTGAAAAGCTTGTCGCTAAAGGCCTTAAATTGTAATAGTAATGCTTTGAAAGTTAGGAATTTAGAGGCCAGCTTTTCATGGCCGTGGTAGAACAAATAAACTGCTTAGTATGGTATAAATTTACCATGCTAATTATCATCGGTAATGTGTTTTATGTAGTTATACCCGGATGTAAAACTCATCGGTAGAAAACACTTAGTCGAAATAGATTGATTTTAAATCTCCACGAACAATCACTATGGTAAACTTTGCGTTAGAGTTGTTATGAAAAGAAATTAATGACGACCATTAATATAATAGTCTTCGTTAATTCCTAGAATATGTAGCCCGCCCAAGTTACAGGGTTCTTATAATATGTTTGAATCTGAGTCAGTTTCAATTTTCGACTGGTTGTTTTCTTATTCTATCGATGAGCACATATCATATTCGGGTTACTAATTTTGAGTTTCACGCCAATAAAGAGGCGAAGTTGTCCGAACTTGAAATCGACGATTAATTGGCAACTCATCTACTTTTTAAAATCATGCCTTAATTAAATTCGATCCGTCGTATCTCTAACGGAAAGGATCGGCTCCTTTCCACTTTTTAAACCGTTTCACAAAGCCAAATCTTGTTCCCAAAAGCGGAAATAACCCCAAAGTTTATGTACCGAACTACGGGTTGTTCGTACAGGAGACAATGCTACTGCTCTGGATACAATAAAATGTCAACTGAAGACCAGTGGGTAGTAGATGATGAAGAATGGCGGTTAGTGAAACTGAAAGGTGGGTTTACGTTACTGAAACATTTTAAATTTATATATAAATTAAATAAATAAACAAAATAAACAAAATAAATACGATATATCTTGTTTATTTTGTTTTATATTTGTATTATTTGAAATACTGTTATAGTTCATGATGGGAATAGTTGACCATTTAATAAAAGTAAAACCTGTTTCTTTTAAATCCTATGTTTATGTTTTTGAGCAACATATTAATTTCCCTAAAAAACATTAATTGTAAAATAAGCTTACATTCTCCAACTATGTCTATAGTAATTCACTGGGATCACACTATTACAATTTACCGATTTTCTTTTCTCCGAAATTCTTTTACATTTCAATACTTTTTCAAAATGACATCTGATTTTTACCATCTTGAAAAGAACCGTGTCCCAATGAGGGACGTCCCCCAAAGGAAATACCAAGGCAGATTCAGTAAGTTCTTTACTTTATCATCTTCAATTCCCTTTTATTTTGGAGAACTTAAATGTTTCCATCTATTATTATAACTCTACAGTTTAACGCAAGGAGTACTGGAACCTTGCAGAACATCATTTAACTCAATACCTATATTATTTAACTCAATACCTATATTATTTAACTCAATACTCATATCCGGAAAATGCCTCTAACCCACTCCTTGAACACTTCCTAAAGTCCTGAGTAAGTAATTAGTACCAATTGCGCACACTCTATGCAGCAAGAATATGCAATATTTACACGTTATAGTCTCTACTTATAGAGTTATAGCAGCATTGGATCACGGTGCTGGCAAGCGCGCCCAATGTTTCAGATAACAGTCATCAGATCTATACTTCTGCTTAAGATGGTCTCATTACACTGATTAATCAAAAACTGGAACACTTGATGAATGTTGAGTTGATTATCATCTCATTTTTGCACGTACATTGCTGCCGCGCTTACATCTGAATAAACACATGAACATTGATACACTACGTGAATAGTAGTAAGTATGTTGCCTTTATTTCCCTGCTCAGATGACACAATATGCACAATAAACACATGATGTTTGTAGCACACTCGGTGGATTGTTCATGCTTCACAACTCACAATTGACATGTTATTGATATTAGATTGTGACACATTGACACACGTTTTCAATCACATCGTGTTCTGTACTTATTGCTTTGACGCATTTGATACTGGTCCTTCAGCGTTTAGTCTTAGTGAACTTTCAAAATATTTGCTTGTGTTTACTTGTGATACCGCGTGATTTACCCGCCTAACCACAGCTATTGATACTGTATGACACGTAATACGACGTTCCTTAATTTGAAACCAAACACCATTGACAATACTACTACTCAAATCTTGCAATACTGGTATACTAGTATACAGTGCAAATAATATCCACATATATAGCTGGTCACTATACTCGACTCGACTCGACTTAGGGCGGCTTCAACGTCCGAACAGAAATAGTTTTTTCCAAATCTGTCTATCCAGCATGAGTTTGTTTATCTCCTTGCTGTCGTCAAGCCCCGTGTCTCTCCGAAGGATGTCAATATATATATATATACTGAACAGCTTATAGCGTCCTTATATTTGGTCACGTACACGCTTAGGTTTCGTTTTGCTAAACACAACTCCCATTTTAACCAAACTTAACTTAATATTTTCAAATCTTACATAATATATATAAGTACCTAATTTATCCAACTCATTTGCGGCGAGACCTCCCATAATCGACCAGTTCACAAGCCTCTTTGCAGTGGAATATCAATGGAATATTCAAATATTATCTTTTAAGCCAGATTTGGATCATTTTAGACGGCGGCCCCTCCCTCGCCGTAAGCCACTTTACCATTGTGTAGAAATTACACAAATTTCAAACTCCAACCCTTTAAGCTAGCTTACATAATATGTGAACAATCCCAAACCGATGTCGGCTCTTTATAGTAGCATGTGAGCGATCATTCGCATATTATAACGATCATTTGCATATTATAAGTGGACAGTTGTTGCATCATATAGTCTCCCTTCATCATTTATGATGCAGGAAAACCTTGCGATTCATACTCTGTAGTTATTCCTATAGCTTTATAGCACTTCTTACAGTATTTTGGTTGAGAGTTAGGTGATCCAGTTCTGGTCATTCGTGTTTTTAGTTTATTCCGTTGCTTGTGCTACCTCTACAATCATCAGTTTTAAAATAGATAGAAGTGGCGAACTTATAGTCAGGATTAAAAGTAAGGAGCTGAAAAAGACAATCACCCGTTGACATGGCAAGCGGCTCTTACGCGTACTCCAAGAAGTACGCTAATAAGAAGAAGGAGAAAGCACCCGCAGAAGGTGAGTTAATATTCTCAAATCCTCTGATAAGTGCAGTGAAATTTGGCACTTCTCAGAGCCTGTTATACCTACTGATTTAGATATTTTTATTTGCACTTGCTGCATAATTTATTTTGTGTTGTATTGCCCTCGTTTCTAAAGCTCTCTCTCAGTTGGCTGAAGGTGAGTCAATGTAACAATTTTCTAAGTTCTCCTAAAATTTAGATTAAGGATTTCAAAAGCCTGACCCTCTGATCCACCTCCCAAACAGAGTCAAGAATGTTCTAAATTTGTTGCACTTCACCAACAGTCAACAGATGGAGCTGGTAATCACTAATAACATAATTTTTGGAAGCTTCTGGATCAAAATATTTATCGTACAAATTATATTTTTCCAGAACATGAGCCGACAAATATTTGATATGTTTTGCTACACCTTATCTGATAACTGATGTTCCTTAAATATCAAGGCCTAACTTTATACTTACGCTTGTTTTAAAGCGTAAGTATGAAAGATAAGGCAGGTCACACGACAGTAATTTAGGTAGCATTTTCACAAGTACATGCGAAGTTTTACTGGGACCACTTGATCCAGTAAATCTAATACTCGACACTTATATTTCATGTTTAATTCCTGTTTATAATTTTATTCAGCTAATTGGTTGAAATAATGCTTACCACCTAAATCCAAGATGACAGGACGTCTATAAGAGTCCAGGCTAGGTGCTAAGATATTATAGGAACACTCGGATACCACTAATTTAAACGCGCTACACATTCTCTTATAATTGGATATCCAGGAACCCTGAACCCTGAACAATAGACCCTATTAGACCCTGTACCTTTACACTTTTACATTATACCCTGGGTCCTTACAGTCCATTATTATAGACCCTTATAATAACCCATCATGCATATATTCTGCTCATTGCTCATGACTCTAACGTCTGGTTAGAATGTACTAAATGCGGTGAACCATTTGTGTGATCATGTGGGAGGGTATAATGAGATGAGATATGTTAACAAGACTCCCCCCTGCTGTCCCATAGTCCTCCGCAGACAAACTCCTTTAACACTTGAATAATTAACTTTTCATTATGATGTAGGGGTCTGTTAACAAGACACCAGTCTGCCCCATCGTCCTCCGCAAACAGCCAGTCTGCCCCCATCGTGCGCGGTCTACATTGTCCCTTCAGTCTGCTCAGCCCTCCTCAACTCTCCTCAATATAGAGTAGGACTGCAGGGTGCGCGGTCTACATTGTCCCTTCGGTCTGCTCAGCCCTCATCTGGTATCTAAAATTATATACATTCTCTTGTGATTAAGATATTTAGGGGCGCATGATTAATCAAACTATCTTCTGAAGATCGCTCCTACTCACTGAACTTACTTAGTCCCAGTGTTAGTTTACTTACAGTGTGGCATTGTCGTTTAGTTTAGCATTATGTGTATAATATCAAATATTATAATTATCAAGTAGATATATAATTAATCACGCTGCTCCCTTTAACCTTACCACTGTACTAACTGTTATACTCAGTACTCACTATACTAACTGTACTCACTGCATTCATTGTACTCACTGTAAGACGTGTACTTATACTTAATCGTAGTGTGACATTGTCGGTTAGTTGAGCATTATCATGATAATTACATGTACAATATTGATTATGCGTACAATATTAGTGTTATTCAAATACTTGTGGCGTACCAATATCAAGATTGTGCGATAAGATCATGCTGAAGCAAGTCAGTTTGTAGTGACTTCGTAGTGACTTTGTAATAATACCACTGAAACAAATTGTGTCTGAACTAATACCACAAAAACACGTTTTGTTAAAAAAAACATTATCACTCGTCGTATTACGACTAAATATTTGTAATCCTTGTTATCTTTAGGCAGGAGAAGACACTTTTCCTCGACATTTCAGAACCAATAATCGTCTCATTATGCCCATTATCCCGCTCAGCGACAGCTCCTAAACTTAAATGAGTGATTTTCATCCCTTCTTCAATATAGATTCGTCAGTAACTCCTTTTCATTCTTTCTTTGCTTTACTCCTCTTATTTTTAGCTTCCATTGTTTAGTATCTTAAAGAAGTTTCTAGCATTGGTTGTGTCTTTTCTACAGTTCTAAGATCGAGCATCAGTTATCGTATTCGCTCACCCGATGCAAATTGCAAATTGATTCTGCGGAAAGGAATTTGACAACAGCTCCTACCGGCAAATGTGCAGTTTCATGTTTAGAAACTTTCCTTCGTCGCCGGGTCACTACTCTCCCAATTTAACTAAACAGGTCTGGCAAACCCTCACGGATAACACTTGTGTTTTAGCTGACATTTCAAGCTGTCGAATAAGATTTGCTGATTAACGGTTTCTTGTATTGCTCATTTAGTTTTATAAAAAACTAGCCTTTTTATAAAAAATAGCCTTTTTAAGTGACACGTCGTAGCTCTTATTAGAAGAAACATAATAGTTCTTATCTATGAACGGTTATCAGCTATTACTTCATCATAAAATGTGCAAGAGTGTGGTTGTTGTTATCTGTTTCGGTTGCTTATGAGTGTAATCTCGGCTATATACCATAATGTTCACTGAACTCATCTTTTGGCATTGTTAAGTAAAGCGAGTGATGTTGGAAATTTAGATTGTTAATTTGGAGTTAAAGTTGTCATCATTTTTGATAATGGAGTCTTTCATTTTAGTCATCGTCCATTAACAATTTTATCTGGGTCATATTTTAATGGTTTCGACCATGCAATTATCATACCGTTAATACTATTAGGTGAGTATCTTTTGAGAAAATGGCATTTATGGTGATGACTCGGTTATCTTTTGAGTTACAGCCTGTTATCGGAATCGAACTTTCGTGGGAAATAGGCCGGTAGTGTTGTAAACTCATTCAGGACTTATATTTATCACGCTATAATCTATATCTAAAGTTTTATGCTTGGAACATAACCAGCAATGACTGCATAATGACTGCATAATGACTGCATAATGACTGCATAATGACTGCATAATGACTGCATCAACTGATCAGCATAAATCAAACATCATCTACAATTCCTATGCTGCGATTCTCTCATGTTTCTGAGAAGTTTACTGGTAAAGATTTGTGAATTCTGGTCGCTAAAACACCGATTAGTGGTTTCTTCAACAAATCATCTACTCCTCCCAACTTTCTGCACTGTGCATCTCATGCCGATTACCTAAACATGGAGGTGTAGGTAAGGTTGTGATTTGTTTCTTGGTTGGTTTATAACTGAACAGTTAGGAAATGTTAGGAAAATAGTTTGATAATTATGCCAATTATATGACTGCTCTCCAAATTGCAGCTCCAAACATTTGACAGTTTAAATTTTTGAGTTTCATCAGATCTCCATGCTGACTGATCAGTGGACTAAGGTTGTTTTGGTGCTGGGATAGTATTAGCACCTCTCAATAACCACATCTTCTAGTTGATTGTTAATCACTTCCCTAATTGGTATTTACAGCCTGCTTAATGTTCTGATTAAGAACGTGTTCGTTGTTGTGGCTGAAATGGATCTACATTGACATATTATAAAAGAGTGGCGTTTAACGAAGGAATGTTTTCCTGGTATTCGTGGTATTCGTGGTATTACATCGAGTGCTCTACAACATTTAACAACTTAAACTGCATTTAAGTTGTTAGATTTGATGAGTTGATACCGTTTGATCGTTAATGCTCTTCAAAAAGGTTTATTTTATTCAGTAAATTGACTTACATCGGATGGTAATATTCCTCGGAAAGTAGAAATTGATGATTTCTTGAAGACGTACGATACTTGCTTTTCTCTTATGACTTTATCTCTAAGAACTATCCAGTTGTAACTTTAACACTGTTGTTGCTTAGTAGTTTTGGAAGCCAGTATGCAGAGTTTCTGCTTGAATCTATTCACCCCGATTTGAATGGTTATATATCTCTGACAGATAGGTCCTAGAAACTGCATGGATTCAAATTCAGTGATTTTGGACACCACATACCGTACCAGTAAATTCAGCCAACAGATCGCCACAAGCAGATCCTCCCTCCGAACCCCACGTCGGGCATCCTCCCCTCATGTTGTAAATAAGAAGGTTCTTGTGTCGTTCGCAGAACCTGATCTTGTACCCCTCCATACTACGACACGTGTGACGTCATCAACTTCCTCTCGGACGTCACTTAATCGGACGTCTTCAATAACGCGCATGCAGACGTCATCAATCACCCGTGTGACGTCATCAAAGTTATCAAATCTTCCTGTTATTACGTCGTCGTGTGGTGTGATATATTGTGAACCTGTTGTGGTGACGGAGAGTAAAGGGATGGGATCAGAGGAACGAGTTAATGGAAAGACGATCATCAGTGTTGAAGGTAAATGTGGATGAACATTGGGAGTTATAATTGAAATGTGAATTAATTAACATAGTGTTTATTCTGTAAATTATATTTACGTATCAGTCACGTACAGCCCTTAAAGCTTAACAATGGCTCGATTCCCGTTCAGTAACTGTATAAATTATAATTCAGAGATAATTATATACTTACAAGGGATATAGCTCAGTACGGCAAATGTTTGAACAAATGATATTTAAATCTCTGAAATGGTAATTAATCTCTGAAATGGTAATCAAATCTCTGAAATGGTAATTAATCTCTGAAATGGTAATTAAATCTCTGAAATGGTAATTAATCTCTGAAATATACACACAGTGTGTATAAAACATGTTACCATATTATTAGTGTACACTAACACAGTACAAATCCAAAATATCATATACTTGCAGTGAATATAGTTATAAGACAAATGACCAATCATAAATTATATGCTCATATTATTACTCTAATGCCATCCTAACGAATGAAAAGTACCACAAGAAACGCAACCCGGCAACCTATTTTCACCGAAACCATCTCCAACTTCCCAGAAACCATTCCCATGAGTTCTTCTCCCACAGCTTTTTCAGCAGTTAGTAATTACACGATTATTTTCTATTAAACAAATAAAAGTCTCGCCAC